TGGGGCTGGAGGCGGGGTTGTATGAAGTTGGCTCTATGGGGATGGAGAGTGGGAGGGATTAGCTATACAGGGGTGGGGCTCTATGAAGTTGGCATACAGAGGTGGGGGCTGGCGAGCTGGGCGGCAGCAGACTGGCTGCGCCTCAGGGCTGGGTTTAGGTGGAGCTGGATGCACAAGGAGTGGGGCGGGCACGGAACGCGCTCCACGAGCGACCCTGGCCTCCCCTGCCCAGCCCCTTCTGTGCGCGCGGGCCAGAGCGAGCCCCTCCCGCGCCGGCCGCTAGTCGCGCGCGTGCCCAACGGCCGCTTCAGTTAGTTCCGGCACCGCCCCGCAGCGAAGGCTGCACAGCAGAACTGTCCCGCGCGCCATGGTGGAGGTGAACACCGGCTACCCCCGCTCCCTGCTGGGAGCGCTGAAAATCGCCCGCCTGGTACGAGGACAGGCTGGCTGGGCCGAGGCGCCGGGCGAGCCCCTGGGGCGCGGGCGGGGCGAGGCGGGGCGGGCGGGCTGAGAGGTTCGCAGCGCCCCACTGGTCGGAGCGCCGTCCGCTAAAACCCACTGAAGTAAATTAAGTGTCCTTGTGGCTTTAACGGGCTTTAGGTCAGTCCCTGAATGAGCAGAGACGGGGCCAGTGCGCGGGGGCGGGGCCGCGGGGAGTTTGGCAGAAGTACATCTTGGCACGGAGCACAGTACATAGCACCAGGGTGACCACATGCTAAAATGACAATGGAGGACATTAGTAAATACTGTCCTTATTCTTTCAGGTTGTTGCATTTGTAACATTCGTCTGTTTTGCTGCCTCGAAATCCCATGAAGCCTTTATAGCACTTGCAATCATGGAATTTGTCATCACTTTGTTATTCTTTGTGCTGTACTTGCTAAAACTAGATAAAAAGATGAAATTCTTATTTTGGCCTTTAGCTGTAAGTATTGATTTGTATCTTTTAAAATGCAAGTGTATGTGTGTATTCTGTGAGTTATGCATAAAAACCAGTGTTGTGCTAGTGCCTAATTAATTAACAGTTGTGAACAGGCTCCATGTTATTTCAAAACAATGTAAGCACGGGTTCTGCAAAGGTAAGATGCAGCTACAATTCTGCCTATGGAAAAAAAGATCATAAGTGCTCTTGTATTCTTTCGTTTTAAATTTAGCTAGTCTTTTAAATAATGAATACATTTGAATTATAAAAACTCTCACTACTAACAATATCAAATGAATAAAACACGCAGACATAAATTCATAGTGTAGACCAGGGCTCAGACAAAGGGGATTATTTCAGGAATGCAATTTTTAGCATCATGCCACTTGGTGTCACTCTAGATCAGATTTGGACATTACCTAATCCCATTTCAGTGGCAAAAAGATTTTGTTTCTTGGCAGGTAATAACAATGTTGGGAATATTTGCAATCATTAATGTTTTTCAACTTGACAAATATATTTTGTTTTCACTGACTTCCTTCAAGGAGTAAAATAAGACTGCTATATGCTACAAGTATACACATTTCAGTATTTGTTAGCCATGTACTTTAATGAAAGTTAATTATGTTTTATAATACATTTTCAGGATATTTTCAACTCCTTGATTGCAGTTTTGTTCTTTATCATTGTGTGCCTGTGTGCAATAATAATCAAGACCACGACTGGGACTCTGGTTGGAGGAGTAAGTAGGGGAATTTATAGTATTAATAATAAATTAGACCATTAAAATTGAGATGGCTTAAATGTTTAAATATTTAGTTATCATTCTCATGTAACAAATATTACTGTTCTTTTTTCCTCAAAATAAATCTGTCCTAATTTTTGACATTTTAAAATATGTCAAACAATAAAAACCGGAAGTCTCACTATGACTTCTTCATACATACAGCTATGAGCCATAGTGTGCAAAGCTGTCATTTTGTTCCAGTGCTGACAACTGAAGCAAATTAAAAGAGCTTTTACAAATATTCCAAAATAAGTGACTGACTGTGCTGGATTAAACATTGTCTCCTGCATGAGCAATTTCTAGAATTTAAAGTTGAGTTAAAAGCTATAGCAGGAGAAAACACTGCACATATTCAGGATAAAAAGATTGAGGACTTATTATTGGCTGCCACGATGCAGGAGATTAAAGCCAAGCCTAATAAAACAGATATTTGGGCAAAATGAATAAGGATATTAAGATTGCCAGGAGGAAGAGAAGTAGATTCTCTCTCCCCACCCCTTACACACTTGAGAAATTGGTTTTACAAATCTGGATTTAGTCATGTCTGAAGACCCAGTTCATCCTATAATGAGCAGGTCATTTACTAAAACTAAAACAACAAACTCCCATTCTAAAAGAAATGAAATCTTCACTACTACACTTAAGACAAGTAATGCATTTTAGCAGCAACCGTGTCACAGAAAGGTGATGCACTTAAGAAAAGACACCAGATTCTTTTCAGAACTGAGTCCAGGCACTCAAGCCAAGTGATATGCACTGGAAATAGTAAAGGATAGTTTCCTCCTGGGTGACAGCTAAGACGCAATCATTCTTTTTCTATCTAACAGAGAATGACCCTGTCAAATAAAGAAATCTTGGGGAGTGAACATTCTGAAGAAAAACTGAAAAAGGCCCAAATTGCATAATATAAATAATGGTTGTGCACGACTTGCTAAGAGTGAACTATTAGAGCAATTGAAAAAGGTTCTTGGATTGTTTTGTCTTTGAGAACATGAGAACCTATAACTTTTAGTCAGAAGTGTTTAACTTGTTTCTCTGGCATTTGCTTTCCAAATGTCTCTCATGATTAAATATAAAGGGCCAGATTCTTAGCTGATGTTAATTAGCATAGCTAGTTACCAATTTTAACCATCTGAAGTTCTTGCCTACATTCAAGAAAGAGGAATGAGGTAAATTATTGTCTCCTTCAGATAATGTTCACCAATGATTTATCATTACTAAATTACTATCATTTTGAAACTGTTCATATTGTGTAGCAAATAGCATTGAGTTGAAAAGTTAGAATTCTAGATGACAAATATGTTTTAGAATGCATCTCGTTTAAACTGCATTTTCTAAATTACCTTCACTAACATAAATATTAAACATCCCGTGTGTTATCATTTGATAAAGGAACATCTGAGTAAAGAGTCAGTACTTCTCCCCTCCTTCCAAGTACAAATGGAGGACTGTCACATAAAGAAATGAGTAATAAGCAAATAAAGTGTAAAAGCAGAGCAAATCTTAATATATAGCTTTACAGATTATCACATTTAGCTAATTTATTTGCAAAAGAACACTTAGAGTTTTTTTGTTTTTGCTAAAGATGACAACAAAACAGTTTTTAAAGCATGCTTGTGGTCATGGTCCATTCCAGTGTTTATAACTAAAATTAGAGAAAATACTGCCACTTAAAGAACAGATTATCTAGAAGTGATTTATGTAACTTTGTAGTTTAGCACACAAAGCATCTAACAGGACTTCAAGTGATACTGAGAGTACATGTGCCCCTAGCTGGAGAAGTAATTTCCAGCTCGAGTAGACGTATGTGCATTAGCTCTGAGACCACAGTTGTAGCCACAGTGGTACAAGCTGTGGCATAGGCTAGCTGCCCAAGTACCTAGGATCCTGGCGGGATCATTCTTGAGATGGATAGCCCATCACACTGTCCACACTGGTGCAGCTACACTATTGTTAGCATGCTAGCACATGTATGCTACACCTCTAGCTCAAGTATAGACGTGGTCTTAAATTGCTAATATACAGTAA